AAAGAAAGAAAGAAAGAGAAAGAAAGAGAAAGAAAGAAATTGAGAGAGAGGAGAGGGAGAGAGAAAAAGAAAAAGAAAGAAAGGGAGGGAGGGAGGGAAGAAAAAGAAAGAAGGAAGGGAAGGAAGGAAGGAAGGAAAGAAGAGAATATTTGGCCTTTTCCTTTCACTTAGAATAATGTTTTCAAGGTTTATCCATGTTGTAGCATGGGTTAGTACTTTATTCCTTTTTGTAGTTGAATAATATTCCAATGTATGGTGTAACATTTTGTTTATTCATTCATCAGTTGACGGATATGTTTGGCTATTATAAATACCACTGCTATGACCATTCATATATAAGTTTTAGTGTGGACATATGTTTTTAATTTTCTTGGATATATACCTGGAATTGGAATTGCTGGACCATATAGTAACTCTATGCTTAACTCTTTGAGGAGCTGCTAAGTTATTTTCCAAAGAGACTGTACCATTTTTATTCCTACCAGTAATGTCTGAGAGTTCCAATTTCTCTACATCCTCATTAGCACTTACAATTGTCCATTTTTAAGATTATGACCATCCTAGTTGGTATTAGGCAAGTTTTTAAAGAGAAAAAAATCTTACAGTTGTTTCTTCACATATCTTCACTCGGCCTCCCAAAGTGCTGGGAGCCACTGCTCCCGGCTTTTCTTATTCTATTTCTATGCCGTGTCAGGAGTAGTCAAATCCGTAGAGACAGAAAGTTGAAGGCTTAGAACTGTGCCTGGCATTTAATAGACAACACTCAACATATACTTGTTAAATAAATAAATCATTTTGTCATCTCAATGGGACTATTTCCATTTTGTTTTATTCCTGTCTAATCTGTCTACGTAATACATATTTCACACAGGTGCATGTGATTTCAATAACTGAGGTTTTTTAGCAAGTTGGAAGTGAAGAGGAGAAGCTTGCCTATTTTGGCAGCCTTTTCCAAATGACAATGTGATGGCTGAGAGAGCAACAGAAAAAAATACCTGTAATTCCCAAGCCAGGCGCCGTGGCTCCACGGCTATAATTCCCAGCACTTTGGAGGGCCGAGGCGGGGTGATCACCAGGTCAGGAGATCAAGGCCATCATGGCTAACACAGTTGAAATCCTGTCCCTACTAAAATAAAGCCATAAGAATAAAATAGCCGGGGTGGTGGTGGCGGCCTGTAAGTCCCCAGCTACTACCGGAGGTGACAGGCGAGAATGGGCGGGGAAGCTGGGGAGGCGGAATGCAGTGAGCCCAGATTGCACCACTGCCACCTCCAGCCTGGCACAAGAGCGAAACTCTGTCCATCCAAAAAAAAAAAAGAAGAAAGAAAAAGAACTACCTGTATTATCAGGGCCTCTCCAGAGAAGAAACTAATGGGGATATGTACATTCATATATTTGTAAATCCCTCTCTTCTCCCTCTCTTTCTCTTTCGGTGTGTATATATATATACCAATACACAC